TGATCACTTTGCTCAACATATAAGTATTTCTAATATAAAAACTATGACAGAAAGTCCACAAAGTTATGTATACCGTAGGCATTTCACTGAAAACAATAGAATGAGATTCATAGAATGCTGAAAGCTGAAAGTTGGAATAATATTTTCAATGAACAGAATCCTAATATAGCATGGGATAATTTTCTCAACACTATGATTAAACACAAAAATCAATGTTTTCTTCTTCGTAAAATGTCGTTAAATACTAAGAGAAGAAGCAATAAGAATACTTGGATGACAGATGATTTGAAACAACTGAAACAAAGAATGATTTTGTTTTCTGATCTATCGCAAACTAATCCCCAATATAAAGGAGCTACAGAGGCAATATTGCTGCGCACTAGGGAAGGCTAAAAAAGCATATTTCGACAACATAATAATTAATTCTGGTAATAAGTCAAAAGCGACGTGGAATATCATTAATAAACTCAAAGGTGTGGAAGAGGGAAAAACAAAACGATTGATATAAGTAAAAATGGTGTGAGATTATATGATGCACAATTGGCTGCTGATTTCAATACACATTTTTCGAGAGATATCATTCAAAACCGCAATAATGACCTTGGTCCTATCACTTCAAATATACCTATCTGTAACTCCTCCTTTTTTCTGAAACCAGTTACACTTACAGACGTCAAAACCCTGATCGATACTTTGAAGACTTCAAATTCATCAGGATACGATCCAATTTCGAACAATTTGATTAAAAAAGCATCTCCTTACTTATGTGCTCCCCTGGTATTCTTGATAAATGGATCCTTTGAAACTGGCACTTTTCCAGACTGTCTCAAACTAGCCGAGATAATGCCATTTTATAAAAAAGGCGATTGCAATGATCTTGTCAATTAATCAGCTCACTTTGTAGTTTTTCAAAAATCATTGAGATCAACGTAAAGAATCCGTTGTACTCATTCATGAATCAATACAAACTATTATCATCAAGTCAACATGGGTTTCGGACTGATATGAGTACTGATATAGCTTTGAATACTGTTCAATATAAACTCGTCTGTAGGCTGGACAAAGGTGACCACGTAAGTGGTTTTTTTATTGACTTTTCGAGAGTTTTCGATGAAGTTGACCATAGCATCCTACTGGCTAAACTTGAAAGATATGGAATGGGAGGCATCCCTCTGAAATTATTTCAATCCTATCTCGTCAATAGAAACCAGGTTGTTTTACTCAATGATACTCGTAGTCCTTCTTGTAGCATCACACAGGGTGTTCCACAGGGATCAGTTCTGGGTCCTCTACTTTTCAACATATTTGCGAATGACCTCATATATTGTGTCGAAAGGATTCCAAATGTTAAGATTATTTGCTACGCAGATGATACAAACATCATTATCTCTGGTGACAATCAAAAATCACTCATTGATTCCACAGAAAGAGTATACTGTAATGTACTAAGTTGGTCGAGAGATAACAACTTGCTATTAAACCACAAAAAAACAGTGTTGGTATATTTCGGACGTAGAAGGCAAGGTCCACCTATTATCTTCAAAAACACAGAAAAAGAATTGTCCTGCTCTATAAATGTGAAATTGTTAGGAATCACATTCGATAGGCAGCTGTTATGGAATGAGCATATTGACCAACTATGCAAAAAACTACGTAGTGGGTGCTACAGCATCAAATATATGAAAAATCACTGTAGTAAGAAAATTTTGAAAACTTTATAATTATTATGCTAACTTTCACTCCAATGTTTTACAAAAATATGTGTTACGTATTATTGATAATACTGACACGAGGACTAGCTGTAGAGAAATCTTCAAGAAACACAAAATCCTTACATTGTACAGAATATATATATATATTAGAAGTATGTTTATATTTCTTTAAAATGAACTATACTGCAACTTGCCTACGTAAGCATGATCATAACACTCGCTTCTGCAACTTTTTACAACCCAACTCTCACTCCACTACACTTCATCAAAGGAGTTTTTATTTCATCGGGTGCAAATTGTATAATAAATTGAATGATGAAATCAAATCCGCACCTAATGTGATCATTTTCATAAGAAGATTGATGAACGTTTGAAATGGAAAATGCTGTTATTCATTAGACAAATTCTTTGTTTGAATTATAAAACTTCATTTTGTACTGCTATATATGTCTATTAACGATTTATTCATCTATTTATTCATATGTTTTATTTGATATTGAGTGTTTTTTATATTCCAGATGTGAATATCTTAAATGGAAAACGAATAAAGTATTTATCTCTATCTATCTATCTATCTATCTATCTATCTATCTATCTATCTATCTATCTATCTATCTATCTATCTATCTATCTATCTATCTATCTATCTATCTATCTATTCCAAAATCAGTATGAACCAGCTTCAACATATATTTCTGCTCGAATGCTTTCCATCCCAACATATGGCTGAGATGAGTGCTGAATTCTGAGTGTGTTTCATATAGTATTTTCATCGCATTTTGAGCGATATCTCGTGGACCTTGAGACATTGCATATAGGTGAGTTATCAATTCCGGAATGCCTGTCGAAAATCCTCATCTTGAAGAACCCACACCGACAACATTCCAATATTCAGCCCTGAAGTGGGTTGATCTAACCGTGGGACACTCTTAATTCATTTTTCTATTCATATTCAACTATCTATTCACATCAAGTGATCAGGCAGTTATCCCAGATGGCACAAGTACATTCATGAAATATTCATAGAAATACACGATGGTACATTCGAATGTTCTCAGAATATTTCCACAATACACTTGAAATATTCTATGAACATTGTATGGACATCTGAAGTGGACTGAATTTTACATCCTCTGAACATTCTCGGAATATTCTTGAAATATTCAAAGCTCATTATCTGAATATTCTGAGGATATTATACGGATATTCTAGGGACGATCTCAGAATATACAATGGTCTGTTCTAGATATTCTGAAAATATTTCTGATAGGTATATTATGGAAAAGGAGTAGATAAGATTAGCCGTTTCTGACTCTCCGCCCGAGGTTACTCTTCTCTGACCTTGGGCGGAGTGACCTTGGGCGGAAGTGACCTTGGGCGGAGTGACCTTGGGCGGAGTGACCTTGGAGCAGGAGTGACCTTGGGCGGTAGTGACCTTGAGTAGGAGTGACCTTGATGCAGAAGTGGCCTTGGACGGAAGTGACCTTGGAACAGGAGTGGCCTTGGAAAGAAGTGACCTTGGGCAGAGTGACCTTGGGGCAACAGTTGCCTTGAGGCAAGAGTGGCATTGGGCGGAAGCGACCTTGGGTGGGAGTGAACCTCCGCATGTGCGACCTTGAGAGTGAGTGACATTGAGTTGTAGAGAAAGTGAGGCCTTGAAAGCGTGTTCGAAGTTGAAGACACTTTCGCGCATCACATCGCTATAGTGGGGGTTGTTTGCGTTTCTATAAATACGAAATCCGCCACATGCACAAGCATAGTTCTTGCAATAACATTGAACATTGCTTCTGCTCAATTAAGTTGGGAAAGTTTGAGTGTGATAAAAGGTTATCTGTTTTATGTAAGTACGCTTATTCATATATTATTCACACCCCTTTCACTTGGACGAAAATAATGGCTGCCCCCAAAATCGATTTAGCTTCAATTAATGATAAAATTAATGAGGAGAATGAAATTGTAAAGCAAATTTTGATATCATCACTACCCCTCAATAAAAGCTATATTATCAAGAAAATCTCATTATGCGGAACTAGATTCGGTAGGAGTGGTACTGTAATTTTATATGATGAAGAGACCGAAGTGAGTTTGAAAACTTGGTTACCAAAAAGAGTTGTTGACAAATTTATGGAGAGCGATATTGATGAGATAAATTCTTCCAACGGTCTTTACACTTTAACATACTTAGGACAGAGTGAGCCTCTATCCGCGGGTGCAAAGACGAGAGCTCTCATGAAATTCGATGTGAAAAAAATGTAAAGATCATTTCATAGTATATAGGAAATTTAATTTAATCATAGGGATGCATCAGCCACGTTTAGTGTAGTGTAAATGGGTTTGAATACTATATGATAATCCTTACATATTATATATAACCTATTATATCACACTCTGATGAAGGTTGAATTTGTATAGGTGAGTGGTGCTACAGATATATAATTCGATTAATGATCAATTCTTTAACTCATTCACTCGTGACCTAAGTATTTTTTCCATTTTTGTTGCAGGATAATTCACCTCAATAGATGTGCAATATGTGGATGCATTATTCCAGTCAATCTTGGCCGGTAGCGGAAGATATCAAGTCGAGTGTGAGGAGGCTGAAATGTCAGTTTGCCGATTTAGAGCAGGACGCAATGCATGCAGCTAATTATGACACGAGTGTGTGCTTTTATCAAAAACAGGTTCAGAACCTCTGCAAGCAAGCTGAGCAATACAAATTGGGGTTCCTACTCTGCACCCGTTTCGAGTATAATAACATCAATGTAGAGGAATTTGTTGAAGCCATGGTTGAAGAGGACTTAGTGCAATTCCTGTATGAAATTTCCGATTTTTTGCCGAACCATCTCGTCCGGAAATATAGCATTGGAATAACTCCAGAGGTGTCTGATTTAGAAGAAGAAGAAGAAGGACAAGAAGAAGAGAAAAGCTTATAATTCTGCATTAAATCTCCACACAACGGCTACTTCAACCTCTGAATACTTATAAGATGTATGGGTACTATAATTGTTGATGTATATGTATAGAAATAAAACAATAAATATGGTACATATTCGTTTTATTCGGTATAACAACAACGGATTCTAGAACAATAACTATGATATCAAATATATAAATCAATCCCGAAATGGCCGTTATTATTAACATGAACATGATACATTCAATGTCTATAAAGCACCCATCTGTATGGAACCATCCAGTGCACTATAAGTTAAATATGCATCATGAAGAATAAGTGCGTAAACTTTGGTGTGCGATGGAAACTTAGTTTTTCGTGTTTCAAATTCCAACTTGATGTCGACAGTGGAGGATTTCATCGCATCGGGTTGGTGGTTGCAGTCAATGATGAATAGTGGGTTTTTTCGGAATTCCTCGATGCTCATCATTGGTTCGCTCATGTCTTTGCCGTAGTAACTACGTTGGAAGTTGTCATATGCATAATAGGCTACTGCATCTAATTTCTTATCGAAATCCAAATTCCATCGCTCGTATGGATAAACTTCGGAATTCAAATACAGGCGAATATTGCTCACTCCTGCATGGGTGAATTGTGTGATATCCTCAGATCTATTATCAGTGTTATCAGTGTTTTGGAATCCAATGATGATATATCGAGGCCGCTCGAGGCTATTGGTAGTTTTAACGGCCCAAATGTCAGATGCTGTTTCACGAATAGTCGGTAACTCATACAGATCCCACATCCTGTATGCAATTTTCACTTTTGCCGTAGAACTTCTATTCAAACGGGTCAATAGCTTCAATTCCTGCTTATCTGATGGCATCACATGTCTTATCTTCCACTCAATTTTGTTAATCTCCACATCGGCGTCCACTTCCCCAATATATGAGTTCTTGAATGAGCGAGCTATGATGAGTATTAGCTCCTGTTCGATATTCAAAATACCCCTACAATAGTCTTCGGCAAACCCCATCAGATATTTAAGGGGTAGTTTGCCGCTAAAAACGTTGCTAGCTTTATCTAGAAGCACCTGCTTGCCACCATCAAGGCCCCATCCAATTGTCTCTAGGAATTTCATATTACTCTCTCCATAAGAAATCATACTCTTCATGGTAGTAGTGATGCCTGGTTTTCGTACCATGCATACTTGTTCGCCACCCATTTCATAGCGTATTTCATCGAATAAGAATGCTAGAGCATTATTAGATAGATAGCAGGTTTTAGTGGCATCGTTTGGTGTGAATTTTCCCTCAATATGGATGTAACTTTCAGAAATATCAAGAATCAGATCTTGAAAGTTGACGGCGATCCTTATTTCATCAGAATTCTTGAATGAGGGTGACCCATATGGTTTGTATGTGTGCTCATGTAGGCTCATCAGTGAATGATCTAAAATTGGTTCATCAAACACGTCCAATTGGGGGCTAGTAGAGGCTGTTGCAACCATCTTGCAGCTGGTTATCGTAACTTCAGACCAATTGACTTCAAAAAATATTTGTCGCTCGCAGACAATCTATGTCTTTCACGTTCGGGAAGTTCTGCTCGAATGAATCCACTACCACGTTTTCTCTCCTTCTTATTGATATTGCGCTGAATGGTATCGGAGCTAGTCGGTTGCATGCGTTTTGATTGGTTCCCAGAACAAAACCCCATTTCATTCCTTTGATGGTGTCTGCCTAATGAGCGAGTTGTTTCAGTTCTAGCTTAACGATGATTTTTTCTCCTCGAAAATCGACTAAAAGACCGTTATCATCCAATATTCTCAGTGTAATGTTGTCGATGAACTGACGCCCAGTCGGGCTGATGGGTAAATATATGATATTTTGCGGCTCTTTTGATAGCTTATACCCAGGCTCCACATCAACATCGAACTCATATAGTGTATGAACCTCCTCACCATTGAAGAATGCTCCTGTGGAAATATTGCAGTCCACCCTCAAGAGACGAACCTTTATTATATTCACAGGCAACGTGGATTCATGCAATATATTAGGTGGGTATTTCTTGGCTTCAAATCCCAACACTCCGGCTATGGAAGTTGCAGGTGTGAAATCCACCTTGTACACACATTTCATTTCACATTTTAGGGTGTTATTATTAGCATGGAGAAAAAATATATCATCAATATTTCGCCCATCGAGCGGTATTGTGCACGCTATAGCCTTTTGTAGAGCTTTATTGATTTCCTTTATTTCATAGGCGCCAGGTGGTATGTGGACTATTTTGTGGGTGGTTTTAGCTCCTAACACAGCCCAAAAGTCCAATCGGTTATTTTTCTCATCTATATTGAGTATGGAGTTATATGAGTAGAAACCATGCAATCCCAAACCATAGGATTTTTTTGTATCGAGTTCAATAGGTGGGTAGAAGTCGGCGCTCAAAACACTGCGGTCCCCAGATATGGTGAAAGTTTGTGACATGACTTCTCAGAGGAAGAAGACGGCGAAACTGTGATAAATGTTGAAATATATGCGCAACCGTGATGGAAAGGTGACAACCTTATTGCTGCCTACAACAATGATGAATGCCGCCGTTTTCACGAGGTGAAGTATTAATACATTCATTTGCCACATTCACATCTTTGATCTGACAAAAACAGCAAAATATTCTTGTCGGTGTTGGTCCATCATTCACATCAGCAGCGCCATGTTTGCCATCTTCTTCATGATGATGTTCTTCACAAAATTGGTATTTTGATACGTCCGGATCGTTACGTAATTGCTGAGGAAGTTTATCCCACACTAGAGCAATTTCATGTGGGGCGCAACCGATAACGACTTCTTTCGGCATGTCTGCGAGCTGCTTTTCACTCATTTTCAGCAGGGAACGCAATCTTGAGTAAGCCAGTAATGAGTGCCCCATTCGTTTGATGCTTTCTCTATCCATATTGAAGACTTTTTTTGCGTCCGTTGTTTGCCGAGAGAAATTTTAAGCACAAATGACCACACCAGACTGTGTTGAAATCCTGATGGCGCTCGTAGTTATATGTGATTTTGATAGTGTTCAACGATTTTGGCCCTCTCTGCAGATATTTCATCAACTCCTGAGGAGGTGGCAAATCTCCATAGCTATCATAATATTCCACTTCTCTATCACGTTTTTTATATGCAACCCAGTGCGTACCATTGCCTCGATTGCTATCTAAATTCAGAATAGCTGCTTCTATGCGATGTGGGCCGGAACGAGGTAGCTTGTCCCTCATAAATATACCTCGAAAGTGTGTTACTTTCATTTTATCTACATAATTTAATAGATCAATGTCTGTTAAGGCCCTTCGAGGTAGTTCATTCAGTTTTTTGAATTTTGAGGTTTCAGATAGATGCCTAACCCCTTTCGATATGGTTTCAAATAAACTCCTTTACCAACTTTCCCAAGAGCGATCGCCTCCATATGCCTATTGTGTCGACTTGCTTCCGAAAGCTGCTCCCTACTCTCTTTCGCTGAACGAATGGCACGAGCTATACCAGCACTTCCTGCAGCCAAACTGCCTAAAGCCGATAAGCCCGCGAAAATGGGTATTAGTGGGAGAATTCCGCCAACTTTAGGTATTGGTATTATCCTAGGTGTCCGTATATTCTTTTTCCCACCTGCCATCTTGACAAATTTTCGGGCAGCTCCGATCGCCATAAGGGATGTTTTGGCTAAATTTCTGACGACATCACTCTTCTTACCCATTTGCCGTATGACATTTCGAACCGTGTGGACTACGCCAGAGCCGAAAGCAATTTTGCTTACACGCTTCGATTTATTCTTTTTTCTTGTAATGCGACGTTTTTTCATTCCACTACGTCCACTACATCCCATTCCGAAGCGCCTCTTCCCCTTCATTATATTGGTGACTAACCAAGAAGCGGTCCTTTCCCCTACGTTAGCGTCTTTCGATTTTACCCGCTCCCAGGCAGCTTCTTCCAATTTCTTATCAGCTGAATGCCTAGTTGATAAATCGTTTGGATACTTCAGATACGCTATATCGTGTTCCTTGCAAGCTTTATCCAGTTGATTTATCCCCTGGTCACCCCGAGCTAATCGTTTTTGGAGTTTTGTTCCAGGCCCACAGTATTGATAACCAGGAATGTGTAACTCGAATGGTATTCTATTTATTAGGGTATTCACAATCCCTTTACCGCTTCTCTTTCGTCGACTAATTCTATTATTATTTATCGATGTGCAACGCTCCAGCTTCATAATATAAATGACCCCAACACGGGTTGCACTACCTTATATATCATTCAACCGTCATACAATGCGGATAGTTCAGCAGGCAGGAACCTTCAATGTGGACAATTTTGATGAGAAAGTGGGGTTGGGAAGTAACATCATCTCAGAACGCCGACATGGAACACTATTTCCCAACACAATTCGCGGCCTCATAATTGGTCCATCGAATTGTGGTAAAACGAATGTGATGATATCACTCCTCACCAACGAAAATGGTTTACGGTTCACGAATATCTACCTCTACTCAAAATCGTTATATCAACCCAAGTATGAGTACCTACGAAAGGTGTTGGAGCCGATCAAAGGTTTGGGATTCCACACTTTTGATAATAATGTAGATATAATAGAACCAGCGAATGCTGAACCTGACAGCATTTTCATATTTGACGACGTCATTTGTGAAAAACAAGATGTGATTAGATCGTATTTCTCTATGGGTCGCCATAAAAATGTGGACTGCTTTTATCTGGCGCAGACATACTCCAGAGTACCCAAACAGCTCATTCGCGACAACTCCAACTTCATAGTTATGTTTAAACAGGATGAAATGAATCTTCACCACATTTTTTCCGATCACGTATCTCCAGATGTTACATTCAAGCAATTTCAAGATATGTGCGCGCAGAGTTGGACAGATAGATATGGATTTATAGTTATCGATAAGGATAGTGAAGTACAAGAGGGCCGCTACAGAAGAGGATTCGATAACTTCATATATCCGTGAAATCTAAGCACCGCTTGATTCATTCAACCATTAGATGTGACTATGAGCACATCTCATGAGAAAATGACTGAAATGAATTCAGAAATTCACCTCAAACGTGAACTCATTGGAGCAACCGAAGCAGTGAGAAAAAAGTTCGAAAGCCTGAAAAATTACCGTATAGGAAATCAATTGGCGCTCGGAAAGGTGTATGAACCACTCATGAAACCGTTGAATGTTATCTCAGCAGCAGCAGCAGCAGCAACTCCAAATACAACAGCTACTACGAAGAATATTAACAAACAGTTAACGACAATAATGGCACAACCCACATATCATTCCACACCGATGTCGGGCAATGCGTCTCCAGGTGCTACGATAACACCCAGACAATCCGTAAAATCACGTAGTTTCACCGATGATTATTCAAGCATACAAAAAGAAGATGAAGAACCCGAATATAGAACAATGATGGATACACCACCAACATCATCTTCTTCACACATTTCAATCGATACTATGATGCCCGCTGATGGGGCAGAAGCGAACACACTAGATGGACAATTGAGAAAACATTTAGATAACTTGAAGTCTAATGACCCCAATTATGACACCACATATGGCGTTCGTATCGATCCCACCACGAAAAACACGATGATGGGTGCCATGGAGATTCGTTTTCCTCCCGGACAAATTGAGTTATTGTGCAGCAATAAGAGGAGCAAAATTTTTCCAGCAACGTCTGAACTATATAACCTCATATTCATGAAACACATACCGAGATCGATCAATGATCGAGATAAGAGCGTATACACAGCCCTGCTGAAGAATACAAAGGCGCCATATGAGAATTTCGATGTACGGGAAGGGTTGAATATGAGTACGAAATCAAAAACGAAATATCAGCAAATTATCAAACCATTAATTGGTTCTCCACATAATATGAGGAGTCAGCAGCAAAAAGTTAAAGGTGGTGGAGGAATATTACAATTGATACCATCCAGAAAGAGTGTTAGTAAACGCCGCAAAGAGTACGTCTATTGGAATAAAGCTACAGAATTAGTAGAACGCCTTCGGCTATTGTGGAGTTCAAAATCAGCCGGTCACACTGGGCACGATAATGAAATAATGTCAATAATTGAGGAATTACGCGACGAAGGCATTGTGCATTAATTTTAATTTGTCTCCAAGGCATAAGAGGGATATGATGTATGCTGGCCTATTAGTATATCAACGTTATTCAAGGAGATCACAAGCATTCAGAAGTATTTCAATAGGTTTGAATAACGCTATTATGGAGATAAGTGCAACCAAAAGGCGAATAGTCAATGAACTGCATAAACCTGCCAGACGGAAGTTTCATAGAAGGAGAACTATAATAAAAGGTTTCGCAGACTTATGGCAAGTAGATTTAGCTGAGATGCAAACGTATTCTAAAGAGAATAGTGGTTATCGAT